ATATCAGATGCTAATAGACTAAACGATGGAAAAATACAATAAGTTCAAAAAAATATATCATACTATACACTGGATAAAAATGAATAATCTGCGTAGAAAGAAGTAGTGACTGATATGAGGGGAAAAGAAAAATGACATTATCATTCAACGAATGTATGACTGATTGGGCGAATCACAGAAAAGAACTAGTTAACTGAAATAGTACAAGCATAAAAAAGCTACACTGATGAGACCTACGAGGAAAAAAATGAAAAGTACATTTGAAAGAATTCATAAACGACTGGATCATTCAATTCGCTATTTGCGGACTTGAAATGCTTTCTCACGAGGGAACATCGCCAACTGTCCAAGAGCTTTTTCAATAAAAACTATCGGGTTAGGGGTGATTCACTATGCTGATTCCGAATATGAGCATGAGAAATCCCCTTAGGCCTTTGTAATGGGGGTGGGATCTCTAGAAAACCAGTTTTTGAGGTCAACATTTTTTTCGTTAAATCGATTTTTTAACCATTCTAAGTTGTAAAACACATCGAATTATCTGTAAACCGATAGTTTTTTCTTTTTCAAAATCGAATTTTAGTGACATTAAAACTTTTAGTTTATGCAAAAGGTGTACAAACAATGCAATAAAAAGGATATAATACTTTGTATATACTTTTTTCAATAAAATTTGATTTCTATCAGTTAACCTACTCTTGAGGATATAAATAAGCAATAAATATATATAAACGTTCATTGAAACATACACCTCACGACCAGATTTCGGACGCAAAAATACAAAGAGCTTTATTGAAATTACTTCAGCGGTTGCAGAGATATATCGATTACAAAAGGTTGGCGAACTTTTTGAACATACCTTATTATTCTTCTACTATAATGAATCCTTCTAATATTGTATATTGTTTATCAGAACTATTTGATGTAAATTTGAACTTAAATATAACACAAATCTCAAAAAATGAACTTCTAATTGCAAAACGTGTAGCTGAAATTATTAATACTCTGATCAGCTCGGATCAATTTGACTATGATGCTGAAGTTACATTAGATCTAACAACTGACTTACAAGATTGCTACAACGAAAATGATTCTATTGGTACTAATATTGACGGCAATGATGCCGATGATGAATGGGATAGAACGGAAGATTTAAAAGAGAATTGCAAATTAAATTCTTATTCAATTGAATATATGAGAGAAGCAGTTGATTTTGCTGATGTAAAAGATTCGTCCGGTAAACGTCGGCGATCTTGGAAAACTATAAAACATCGCTATCAATCGCTTCCAGATGAAAACTATATCAGCCGATTTCGTAAGTATATAGCTCAACAAGGTACAAAGCGTCAAAAAACTCAAAACATCGATCAAGTTGTGTATAAAAATTTTTTAAATGCTCGAGAACAATATCTACCGATACATGACATTGATATTCAACGCTGGGCGTTACAAGCAGCAAAACAGATGAATCTAGATGATTTTCAGGCGTCTATTACTTGGCTTCTAGAGTTCAAAAAGCGTCACGGAATATGCTCTCGTAAAATTACTAATATAGTAACGAAAAAAGATATAAATAACTTTGATAATATAAAGAAGTCAGAAGAAGAGTTTTTACAAAAATTTCATCAGTTATCAGGAAAATATTTACCAAAACAGATTTTGAATACTGACCAAGTAGGTATTGAAAAGGAGCTACATTCTACGCGTACATTATCAATTAAGGGTGAGAGAAAAACTTTTGGATCTGTCGTATCAAAGAATGCAACCACTCATTCATATACTATCCAACCTACAATCAGTTTAGAGGGCAAACTAGTTGGACCGATGTTCCTATGTCTTCAGGAACCAAAAGGTCGTATGGGCAATATTGTCAAACGTAATCTATTTGAACCAAAAAACGTATTAATTACATGTTCCTCATCAGGTAAGTTAACAAGCTCGTTGGTTTGCTATTGGAGAGATAAAGTTTTGGTACCATCTATTGGGAAAAAAACTTTACTTTTATCCGACTCATGGTCTGGTCATAATGATGAGAGCATCTATCATGATATAAAATCAACTAAAAAAACAATTCACCGTATTCAAATACCACCGAAAACCACATCAGATATACAACCTGTTGATAAATACTTCAACAGACAAATGAAAGTCCTAGCTAAAAGATTATATAATCGTGTAGCTTTAGATCAATTAAATGTAAATCTTTATGAGCGAAACAATATCATTAAACTAGTATCACTAATACATAACCAACTACCCGCACCTGTGTTTGAAAAGATGATCATATATTCACGGTACGCTTGTGGCTATTTGAAAGATGATCCATCTCCATTTAAAAATGTGAATGAAGTTTGTTTCCCTAATTTAACAATCAATCAAAATTGTCAAATAGATAAATGTTTTGAATCAGCATTCATTTCGTGTAGCTGGTGTTCAACAAAAATGTGCTTTCATCATTTTTTTATTGAATACCATTTTCACGACTAGATGATAACGAAAACTAGTAAAATAAATCTTGAAATAAAATCTATTCTTCTTATTTGCACACTAAAGTTGACATTTACAAACGATCGCTAATTTTCCTAGTTTCTTTTGTGATTACCACTATTTATTTTTGTTTTGATTTTTGAAATAAAAGAAAAAAAAACTAAATTCTATCTTCTTCGGCCTTACTTTTAGGTATCCGGCTATTGCTATGTCAGAAGTCGACATACTTAAAATTTTCGCAGGAGAGATGCCTTCCTTCATTTCATAAACAAATATCTCTGTTAAGAAATAAAATTATTTTCACTTATACTCCTTTTTGACAATTGAAAGCTCCCATCTTATTAGGAGTGGATAGTAACATGCAATAGAAATGAAACAGTTTTAATGTCACTAAAATTCGATTTTGAAAAAGAAAAAACTATCGTTTTATAGACAATTCGATGTGTTTTACAACTTAGAATGGTTAAAAAATCGATATAACGAAAAAAATGTTGACCTCAAATACTGGTTTTCTAGAGATCCCACCCCCATTACAAAGGCCTAAGGGGATTTCTCATGCTCATATTCGGAATCAGCATAGTGAATAACCCCTAACCCGATAGTTTTTATTGAAAAAGCTCTTGGACAGTTGGCGATGTTCCCTCGTAAGTTTACATAGTTACATATTTGACTAGTTGGAAAGTCTTACAAGATATGAACTGAAGTTTAACAAAGACTTCAAATAATTGCATTCATTTGAATCATCACTCTCAATTCATGTTTTACGTCTACTATGCAGTAAATGAGGAAGAACATGATTACCATGAAAAAAAATGATGGGATACTGAACAGAAAATGTACAAATTTAAATAAAAATTCTAGTCTAAGAATACAAATAGATTCATTAATAGTTCATGAATCGCTTTTTTCTTTCAAAAACTTATGATTTAATCATAGAATATAAAGTCAATTCGCTCAAACATCTCATGTATCAAATGTTTGAAATTAGAAATTGAAGGCTTTCATTCTAAAAACTATTATGCAAAATCTAACAGTTAATTGATTTTTATTGCTTTCTTCATATTTTTTATCTTTTGATAATGATATTTGATGAACTCGAAGCCTAGCATTAGAGAAATAAAATAAATTAATATTGAGTCTCGTTTAACGTGTTAAACTGTTTGAAAGAAAAAAAAACAGAACATAATTAGAAAGCAAAAAAGAGAAAAATAGTCTGTTTTTTTCTTCGTAAGTAAGCAAGAAACGACAAACTAGAAATAATATGAGAATAATTATGTCCTTGAAAAAATGAGAATCATTCACATGTAAATTAGTTTGCCGTGGCCGATATGCAATACATTTAGTCTTCATTGCATTGTGTACAGATGTTTTTACAAGCAATGCACGTTCAACAAGAAACATTTTTTTTAATAATTTTAAGCGTTTAAATATGCAAGATGTATTAAAACCGATTATGTATAGAGTACGATTAACTTCTATTACTTTTTTCAACGCCTAATCAAATGTTCAGTGCAATTTATGTATAATGATGTTTAGATAGTTTTTATTATTGCTTTGCGGGTTTGGGTAGGTCACAGTGTTCTCTATTCCAAAGTGAAGGATAAAAAAGAAAGAAGAAAAGAGGAAAGAAATATGTTGGAAAGAGAAAAAAAATGCATCGACAGAACGACGAAAAATAACATAAAAAAGCTACGTCTAGAAACGATGCGTGCTAGTAGTTGCTCAGTGTGAGATAGAATCGATGTTGTGGTCGAAGCATCAGAATAAATATGAATGTTGACGCCAACAAGAGCGTTGCGCCGAGCGGACTGAAACTATAATTGTAGAAAATGTGATGAGCGATCGAAGTTCTTGTGTTCTGTATTAAGTCAACGATTCGAAATTACTCAAAAATATTTCTCGCAACACTCGTTCCTTGGCGTTATTTTTCTTTTGTACTTCTGTATGAAAAAAATAACCGATATAAAGCGACTAATACACAGTATGATCATAAGATAATCGAACCGAAAAACGTGAAAAAAATCATCAACATCGTCAGTAACAAAACAAGAAAAATAATTGGCAGACGTGAGTACGCCTCGCTGAGGTTCTTTGCTTGGCAACGAATATCTAGTTGCAGTGTTTCACCAAGAACTATTTTCCCATCAGTATTTTTCCATTGCATCGTCTAGTCTATGAAGGACTTTTTCTCCTCTGATTTTTGTCGTACAACCAATGAAACATACGAGAATGTTTTGTATTTGTGGTAGACTGCATGTTTCTCGATAAGCCCTTTAATAATGATTGGCTTATTGGGGAATCGTCACTTATAATTTCTATTTATTTATGCGATCTGAGGGATTAGCATAATAGTAGTATCTTCTCTCTTCATTTTCATACCACATGAGGAACGAAACAATACAAAGATCGTTAACTTCCTCTTTTTTGTCTCTTGCCTTACTACATAGAAATAGCTACTTTACAAGTTGATATGCATTTTTATAAGTACAAGGATATGACAGATTAATCAATAAGAAAACAACCCACGATACATCTGCTATTAGTTGAAATTCAACGCAGTATAGACATACGTATGTGACAGATGTTCATACTATCAGATCTATAGAGTATTGTTGAAAAATTATCTGAAGATTATGTAAGTACAGTTAATCCCTAAACTTTCATCAAACAAATTCTTGTTTGTTAAGTTTTTCTATATGCCTGTTGATTCTTATCGAAACATCAAGACTTTTTTTAATGATTGTCGAGGTCCATTGAATATTTCTTTTCATAAGTACTTTTTCTCTCTCTTTTCATATCTTAGAATTACAAGTTCTGAGAATTTTAGATGCATTTTTTTAAACACAAATAGGCTCCAAATTACATCGACATTAATCCAAGAAATAGATCAAGTTTCTGCAACCCAGTGCATTATCAAGAAAACACTTCTCCTATTATTGAATGTTCGAAAAAAATATAATAGGCCAACATGACCTTGACTAAAAACAAAATCTTTTAGTTTTTGATCAAAACTACTCGCCGATAAGAATGCTTTTTAAAGACGAAAGCAATTTATCACTTTAATAGTATTGATATGATTATAGGCATCTATAATCGATAAAAAATTGCTTCTCAGCAAGTCAGTCTACATTAAATTGAAACATTGATATTTTACAGAGCGAACTTTATGCTATTTTCTTTTTAAATTTTTGAATAACTAAAAGCGTCACAAGAAATTCAATCGAGCATAGTTATTTCAAGGAAGAAATAAGCGCTTTTGAAAAAAAAATTACTGATATATATGTTTACATCGGATTATTTTAATATTTATTCTTTCTCTAAATAAAATTATTGTCTTTCATTATGTTCTCGTCCGAATATCCGCTTATCAAGTCAGATTTTAATCACATAAAATCAGATATTAAACATTGTTAATAATTTTTGATAAAAAAAAACAAGGATTTTACATCTGAGTTTCTAATTTATAGTAAATATTATATTTATCGATCTTGCTTTGTTATCTAAATTTATTTTAGATTGAAGTGAAAATACAATGGCTGACAAAACTGTGTTCGGTGAAAATATGGCTGTAAATATTCCTCTTCAATTGGCTGATGAAAATGAAACCAAAATGGATACAGATCCACCATTATATGAAACCCCGCAAGTGGATTTCAGTAGTGGATGGAAAGATCGTGGCTTTGCTATCGCCTTCTGGATTCATACAATTGCTGTTATATTAGTGGGATTAATATTAGGAGCACCGATTGTGTTTTCAATCGTGCGGAATATTGAATTCAATTCACTGGAACAATCATCAGTCAATTTAAACATCAAAGTTTATCTATTTGGATTGGGCGCTGCAGGAGTGGCTGGTGGATTAGCTTCCATTATCACCCTTTTCTTTCTACAAGCGTGCGCAGGACAAGTTATTAAATGTGCATTTCTCATAATTATAATGGCACATGTTATGCTGGTAGTCATTTTTTTCTTTGTATTTTTTCCATTATGCTTTATACCTGGTTTCTTTCTGGTAATGATATTGATTTATTTATCATGCATTAGAAAGCGAATTTCGTTTGCTGAAGCACATTTACAAGCAGGCTGTGCTTCTCTACGTAGTCAACCATCATTGATATTAGTAGCTATCCTCATGCTAATCGTCGAATTCTTATGGTTCGTCTTCTGGCTTTTGATGGTAATAGGTATGCACAGAACTTTCATGAGTTCTACATCGACTTCAAGCCTTAATGGGAACACTAGTTTAACTAATACAACAGCATTTAATCTGAGTAGTTCAACACCAGCGCGGATGATGACAACGAAATTGGTTAATGGTAGCAAGAAGAAACTTTTCAATGGAACATCATCTGGAATGAGAGAAAAACAAATATCAGTATCTAAAAATATGAATTCGACCGATCGACGATTTGAAGATAACAATATAACGAGAAATTCGACTTCTGAAGCACCACAATGGTATAGTAGTTATATTAATGATATCATTTATTTTTTTATGATGCTTTCATGGTATTGGGGTGCAGTCACATTTGGAAATATTGCTCATTTTATTGTTGCTTGTGCTGTAGGTCGATGGTGGTTTAGTACTGAATCTAATGAACAGTATTCAACTGGAAATAGTATTAACCGAGCGTTTACAACAAATTTCGGCACTATTTGTATGGGTTCGCTGTTTGAAGCTATTATAAAAGCTCTTCGGTCCACTGCTAATAAGAATCGTCAAAAGAGTGTTATAGCGTGTGTTCTGGGCTGGATCCTTGGAATCATTGAAAAAGTAGTTGGTTATCTCAACGAATGGGCATTTATCTTCGCCGCATTGACTGGCCAAGGGTTTGTTGAAGCTAGTCGAAGTTTTATTGAATTGTTTAAGAAACGAGGCTGGACAGCGATTATCAATGATGCTGTTATTGGAACTACTTTATCCTTAATCAATTTTATAGTAGGTCTTATTTCAGCTACTGCTGGCGGTCTTCTTGTATATTTTATGACAAATAAATCTCCAGAACAGATTATAGCTAGTATCATAGTAGCAATCATTAGTTTATTCATTGGTATATTCATGAGTTCAATAATTACAACAATTTTAATATCATGCGTGCGTACAGTATTCGTTTGCTTTGCTCTCAATCCAGCAGCATTAGGTGCGACACATCCTGATCATTTGCAAAAGTTAAGTAAAGTCTGGCATAAATTTTATCCACAAGAATATGCTACTAGCGGCTATGTTAATCATCTGAATGAGCCCATGGTTTGATTGAAATATTCCAAATGGTACACATAGATGAAAAATTTACAGACTTATTGAAGTATACCTTTTCTTTTTATTAATCTATTATACTTTTTACTTGCTCATACTTGCTCATAAAAAATCATTTCTATCATACATAGTAGAGCAGTTAGTCTTTGTATGTTTGTGGTGACTTTGTAATCAATATCGTTGTAATCTGCAGTATGCTTACTTGTTCTTGACGTTGTCTTCTATTGTAATAAGTTACTGAATCGAACAATTTCATCGTAGTGTTTTCTCGAAATACAGCTTTCGAATGCAAATATTTGAAATATTACTTAGATTGATAGTTCTTGATGAAGAACGCACGATATCTATCTAATGAAGTAATTTGACATAAATCCAAGCTCAAACTTTATCGATTACTACAGAAAAATAAAAGAGGCTGTGGGTGTGTGTGGGAGTCACATGCTTGAAAAAAGACTACACCCACACTCACACCCACACCCCATACCACAGTGCTCCTGAAAACGTTTTAGAGGTAGGCACCATGATGAACGACATAAATATGTATTTATGCATCAAGTAAAAATACAAAACCAGTTACTTTTTTCGTAATTAAGCACATCTATAGAAGCAAGTGTACGTGTGCAGCGATACATAAAAGTACAAGTAACGGGTGGCCCAGAATAAATGAAGGTCTCAGTATTTCGCTAATATCTCCCTCAATTTTCATCGTATAGGGTTGGAGTTTTCTCTAAAAGATGTGCCATTCAATTCTTCATCAAACGCGTATTAAAAGCTTCTCTTAAGATAGATAAGCAGAAAAATTTTGAAATAATACTAAACACGTGCAAAACGACCAAGTTTCACAGTCATTGTAAAGATAAAATATAGAACCTTTTTTTTGCAGTACCTTAAAAATGAAA